GCAACAAGCTGTTGCGGTGAGTTTCTGGCAGTCTTTTAGCATCTTTTAAGAACATGTGGCCGATCCGTTCGCAAGGGAGAAGCAGACGGAAGTAAATGTGCAACATTTATATGAATTGGTTTGATACGGTGGCCGGCAAGAATATGTAGTGGTGATTTGTAACAGTATCAGTGTGGAAAGAGTGTTACTCTGGAATTAGTCTCGTATCTGTTGGGAAAAACAAATTTATACAGACGAGCCAGGTTAGCCTTTGGACATCGAAGACCGTCAATGGGCAGGGGGCTGCCACTGACGGAGACCCTGTTCTCTATGACATTTTCTACCTTGTTCAGTATCTACTAGACTTTAAGCCAAATTTGTACCTCTGGTAAATTGCAGATCACTTATTAAACAAAATGGTAGTTACCAGCAAGCGTATTTTAGACGCTCTCGGGGTGCTTGGAATCATGTTATGACGCACGTTATTTAGATTCTTATCATCATAGCCCTCACTAGAAATAACTGTTGCACGAATTTTAACAGACGAGGAATTTTTGTTTCAAAAAAGGTTAAGTTTGAGGTCTTTTTGTACTTGGCCTCTTGGTTTTTACAAGCAAAAGCTATGCAAAATAATTTTCGCGTATTTGAAGAACTTGTTTTCTCTAATTTGTAGATTCCGGTTTCCGGTTTCCGGTTTCCTGGTTTTGGGTTGTCCCTGTTGTAACATATATTTTTTCACGTTGTTATTGTAAGATAGTTTTGTGCTGGTATGTAGATTCGTTGGTATGCAGGTTACGTAATTATGCTAAGAGGTTATATTTAAGGAGTTTGTACGTTAGGAGTTGTCACTTCGACGGCATCTCCGCTTTTGATCAGTTCATTTTGGAAATTTTGTTTTAGTAATTTTCCGTGTTTTTGTTTACTACGTTTATTGTGCTAATAACTATCAGTAGTGCAATTTATGTCTGATCAATAAACAAGATGCCCCCTCCCATATGACTGATGTTTTCTTACTCATACAAAGTTAGAAATTATTTTGTTTTCGTTTCACTGCAGAGTGATTAGACAACAAAAAACGGTTTCTGTTAGAGATCCCGGTTGATATTTTCGGCGAGAAAGTGCTTGAGTTTTCAACTGGGTCGGGAATTAAGTTTGGCAATGGTTTAGAAATGAAACTGTGCGAACTGTGTTGCAGATAGTCGCTGGCATCACTTTCTTCACAGGAAATGTCGATGGGAGGGTCTTGCGTAAAAAGAGTCCGTGGTTCGCAACAGGTTGGAGAATTACCTTCTTCGAGTCAGCAGGCGAAAAAGAGTAGCTTGAACCGCTAAATTGTCGAAAGTGGTCGTTGAGGGCGATTAACATCACGACAAAAATCTTCCTTAGTTTAGACCTACTGTTTCCAAGAATAGACGACTGCACTACGGCGCCTTCTACAATTTTAAAAAGTTGGAACCGTTTATAAATGCGGACTTAAGGGCTGTTGTTTCAGGAAATATGTTTAAAATATATTACTGTTGTTTTGTTTCCTGGCCATTAATTGTTAGCATATTTCTTTTTGCTTTGGTATCAATGGAAGGCCAATAAGAGATTTACACTTTTCTTGTGTAGATATATAGTGTTCCAGTCGACCTGATGCAAAACGTTAGGAAGTGTTCCTTTTGCAGGCAGGTATAATTAAATGATTTAGGTGAAATTAGGGTTTTAAAAACAAAGTCTCAGCGTGGCATCAATTTCAAAACAAATCTGTCACTGTATAAAACTATACACATTAAATTCAGTAACTCTGACCCATGTGCAACTGAAAACAGACATTAAGACATTCTGTATGTGTTTACTGTCTGACAACTGATCAGTGAGAGTCTCACAATCAATCCCCCAAAATGAAAAGACCTTTTTGCCAGCATTGAGGGTAAAAAACATATCCGATTCTTTAAGCCTTACATAAAAAAAAAAAATTGAGCAATTTGAGTTTTACAAAATGAATGACTTGATTTTTTCATTTCGCGGGTTTCTTAGTCTTGTCTTATTCTTGCCATATTTATAAATATAATAACAACCCATCAACGTATATTACAGACAAGGAAGCCCGGGGAAGCCAGTAAGGCTTCTGTAAAGGACTTCCTTAAATACCTAAGTCTTAACAAGAGAAAGAAAATGATGTCATTGACACATAAAATGATCGTAATTTAGGATGAAAATAAGTAGTCAAGTAAAACTAAACGCGGGAATGAGTAAAAGCAGAGGAAGGGGAAAAAAAGCAAAAACAAAACAAAACAAAACCAGCATGCACAAACAAATTAGGAGAGGTAAGAAGTGAACACAACAATACTAAAGGAATTTTGAATCTCAGTGCTGAGAGAATTAAATAATTTGAGTCCTTGAAAACGGAGAGAGAATTTTTTTACATTTGTCCTACGTTAGGGCAAACTAAAAGAATTCTTAGTTCTCGTATTGTATCTATGTACGTCACAGCAAAAAGAATGAAAGCCAAGACCTTTGACGCATTACATAAATCATTAATGTATAACAAAAACAAAAGTGGTACTGGGTACTAATGAAATGGTAACTGAGGCAGCGTAAACCATAATAGTCGTATGGATAATAAAGTTTCAAAGTTTACAGTGGATTAGGAAATATACAATGTGTTTATCACTTACAAAATAGGGGCTAAGCAGTGAAATTTTAACTTTTCAAGAACAAGTGGCCAACCTATAATTACTCCTTACTGTAGCAATACATTTCAAAGCAGACAGGTCATGAGAATTACAAAAATCGTCAACCAAGGAATATTGTTTTAATGTCCAATTTTCCAATTAAATTGTCAATATACAATGTGTACAATGAAAGGATGTAAACTGGAGTACATCACTGTGAGAGGCATCCTTTCTCTCATAACTTGTAGTTTTGCTATGTACAGATGTAGCAGCACTTTGATTTTGTCATCACCACTATGTGTGCCTGTTGGGTTGACTGCAGTGATTTCTGGATCCACCATTTCAAGAAAACTTGATAGAAAGCATTTTGTCTGCTCAGCTAATTGCTGTTACAGTTAGTGCGACTACAAGCACCGTCAAATATGGCACCTAGCCTACCTAGTGGGGCATATGCAGGCCAAAACATTTTCCTGTAAATACAATGTATGCAAAGTTTTGCATATTTAACAATGATTATAATTAGTTTGTGAGCATTGATAGCATACAAGTAGCTCACCCAATTAGATTTCCACACGAACTAATTTTATAGCACGTTGGAAAGCCACTCATACAGGACTGAGATTATCTGAATGCACCGACAAAATAAAAATGATGATCACACAAACAGTGCCGCCTTCACAACCCTCAATCAGAGAGGGTGGGACAAGACTAAATAAAGAAAGCTAAATTACATTTCTTGTATACAAAAAACATCTACAAGTAGTCATGTTGACTATTTCAAAAAAAGGTACAAATTTTGTTTGTCACATTCTTTGGCCCCAAGGCATATTTACTGAGCAACATTTGCTGTATTAAATTAATGGGAATAAATAAAGACAGATATTACATACTTCCCATTCTACAATGAGATGCTTCATATTGCGTCTCATTTCTTCGCAAACCAAAATCTTCCTTAATTTCCCAACTAATGCCTCCAGGTGGCCATAAATCATTGGATACTTCCATTGCTTGATATCTTTTTAAAATTTCAACCTCGCACAATGACTCAGTATTTCATTCGACAGCTGACCTGCAAATCGTTTAACTTCACGGTCTGATCTCAGAGTCGGATTCAGACCTTGAGCTAGAGGAGTCCCGTTTTTTTTTTTTTTTGCTTACCCTACTGGTTTTTCTTCCCCCTGCGATATTTTTTTACCCAAAATAAGGGGGGAGGGGTGGCCGGGTCCCCCGAACCCTTCTCCTAGATCCGCCACTGTGATCTCGAGTCAAGGCATTTAAAGGCGAAACAACCAAAATAAACGATTCAGTTGATCCATGCCAGGAGTGAAAAACAAAGGGCAATAACTGAAAAATCAATGGCTTGCCAAAGCCTGTCTTTGAGAAAAGATATTTTGAGAACGATTTGTTCAACTGAGCTGAAATTTTCAGGATTTGTTGTTCTAAGTAAGTTTTGTGGTTTAAGCATAGAAGTTTTCCATCCAGTGCCTTTTGTCAAAGTTATGCATTGAAACGTATGCTGGTCTTTGCTGGATTTTCTGTATCAAATTTGAATGGTCACCATTTCATATGTTTTTAACTTTTCAAAAATCTTTACGCTTAAAACAGTAAGCTATTTGTCTTCTTTTAAAAAATGTAAAAATTATTCATTTTGATCAGTTCTTGTGGGAGTTATCTTTTCTCAAGTAAGCCCTGGCATTCCTCAGGAGGTGGCAGAGTTAATCAGCCGGTGTCAGGTTACAATTCAGTTCAAGGGTACAAAATATTTATTTCCATAATGTTTGGTCTTTGACGTTTCTAGAAATGTATACTTTGCCATGGTTTCGAATTAGACAGTAGCCATGAAAAAAGTTTGAAAAAGTGTTGTGTTTTTATGTTCCTGAAACTTGGGGTAATCAAAGACCAATAGTGTCGTGATGCGATAAACTAAAAAAAAATCGTAACATTTTAACATCTGTAACGTGACACTAGATAATTTGTCCACCGGGTTTGGTGCAAAAAAAACTTTAGTTTATTGCACAGAACGAAACAGGAACTTACAAGATATGCTTGTTTGAAAGTCAAATCTTGTTTTGTAAAAGTGCACGAACTGTTGCCGTCAGTGCTATAAAATAAAACCTCAAAAGTGTGTGGCTGGCTGCCTTAACATCCATTTTGAGTAAAACCTTCAAAATTTATTTTCTCTTCCATGTCTTATACCCGGTTCGTTATGCTCAGTCCGTGTTTTATACCCAGTCCGTAATCCGCAGTCCATGTTTTATACTGACCGTTTGTCAATGATATTTTGCGAGCTGTTTCATGCGTAGAACTGATTTATCTCGTATAACGGGTTATTTCTAGCAGACCGTTCCCAGATATGTGCTGGTTGATTTCAAACACCTCTTTCGAACTGGACGAAAAGAACATTCGAAATCCTCTCGGGAAATAAACCCGAATAAACCGTTCTTAATTTAAACAGCCAAAACAAACGCTTAGCTTGCGAAGCAGTTACGTACCTGTTGTAACTTCACATGGATGTACGAGTAATACCGATAAATCCGCTGTTAACAACGCACAAAAGTTGCATTTTAACACCGAAACGTTTAGAAATTTTGGTTGAATGGATCGCATCCAGTGTTTTTGGCGCTGATAGAGCTTTATAATTTTCAGGAATATTAAACCAATGCTGAATTTAGTCCAAGAATCTAGGCAAATCAAAGTATTATATTTTGTCGTACCATTTACAACTCGATTCCCCGTGATATATTTTACTGCTGATAAGAAACTGGAAACTGGAAAGTTTAGCAAAGGGTAAGGGAATTTTCGCCACTCCTTTTCGAACGGAAAAGGAGAACTACCTTGGAGGTGGTCTACAATTTTCGAATGGATTCTCCGGAAAATCACTGTCTTATTAGACTTTCAACCGAAACGCAGCATTAGACCAGATATATCTGCAGAGTTACCCTTTCCTCGCGCCAGGTCCCCCCACCGCCGAAGAGAGACAGCCGGCAAACTGGACTCGTGCTAAAAGTCGCGGGAAAAAAGATAAAATGGCGGAGAAATGTGACTGAGGAGTTTAAATATGCCATTAAAACCTTTTACCTTTGACAGAAAACCAGATATTCGGCTTGTGGTTTACGGGAAAACAGTTTACAAGATAAAAGTGATTTGTAGGAAGTCTTCTGACAGAGAAAGCATTCGAAAGTTGTGCTCTGAGGAGAAAAACAACAAGGATCTGGAGAGAGTTATCTGCGCCATTTTGAATACTTATGAACTCGTACCTGTGAAGACAGACAATTTTGTCGTCTACCCTTACAAGAACCATTGGGAAACCAGAGACAGAGTGCTGTTTTCTCAGAATGGCCAACCTCTTGACGCTCATCGGTATGCTTTTACTTTGTACGTGGAAGTGAAAGAAGCAATTACGAACCACAGTCAAAACACAAAGACAGGTCGAGTCCAGGGAAAACAAATCGATGAAGAAGCAATTTCTGGTGGTGTCGAAGAGAGAGTAGTGACTGAGTATGGGCAGAAAAACCGCCATGATGTTGAAGAGAAAGATTTGAAAGAGTTTCTTAGATTACAAAAGTTGGCGAGTGAAGATGATGAGCAAAGAGATGATATGGAGGACGCTGCCGGCACTTCAGGACTACAAAAAGTTTTCAATGCATTGGTCTCGCCAGTGCGGTCCTTCCTTGGGCACTGACTGGTTGCATTGTTGAAAAAAAATAATGGAAAGCCGACCTTTCTATGATCATTTTGTAAGACAGTTATTTTTGTCTCAATTAGCTTAGCTGTAACAAGGATTCAAAAACAGCCGAAAAGAGATTTTCTCATGTCCACGACCTACGGAAATATTAGATTTTCAAAAAGCTGTTACTTGTATTATTTAACAAAGTTTATATGTACACTGCATTATACAAGGAATGGTTTTATATTTATTTGAGTATGTACATATTTGAAAGAGAATTAGATCAATTTGTTGGTATTCTGCTATGTTGGAGTATAAGATTACTTTTTAAAATTATTTTTAACTTATTTCATCTTATCAGTACTTACATAACCAGACAAGGGATCAGTAGTTAGTACTTATTTCCTCTTTTTAGCTCTAACGATTGACTGCAGGAATTTCACATTATGAGCAAATTGTACTTCTGTGGAGGTATTTTTTATCCCAGATTCTGAGCTTGTGGGATCCAATTTGAGAACAATGACTTGTCAGTGTAGTTACTGTTTCTTTTGGATTGCATATTTTCCCTAAAGCAAGCTACCTATCAAAATACATTCAAACTCTGTTTTATGGACACTTGTTAAAGGGCAGCAGAATATTATTGACAGTGAATTTTTCACCCTAGAACAAGGAACTTATGTTGAGACCTGAGCCTGTCCAGAAGTTTCCAGACAACTTTTTGCAACTTTTTAAAATTTTAAAAAGTTGCAAAAAGTTGTCTTGAAACTTCTGGACAGGCTCAGGTCTCAACATAAGTGCCTTGATCTAGGGTGAAAAATTCACTTGAGAGAATTGTTCTCTTAAGCAACTTTTTGGATTTATAACTAATTTATACCCATTCTGAGAAGTCCAAGCAAAGATTTGTGTACCATTTTCTGGAGATTTTAAGAGATGTAAATTTTTTCCAAAATATGTTGCTAGAAGACGTTATGGGTGTCTGAACATTTTCTGAAATACCAACAAAAATTACAGGTCTATTACCTCATACAGGTGCAATAAAATTGCATCTAAGGCTTACTTTCGTAGGGATATTAGGAAACAACATTGTGTTGTTTCAGAAAATATTCACGTCCCTCCCAAGGAGGGTTTTTTGGCTTGAATCTGGGATTTCTAGTTTTGGTTCATACTTTCTTTCAAAAAAAGTTTGTTTTCTGACCCCTCCTCCTTGGATTTCTAACAACCCTCTTTGGGGTGGGTATGGATATTTTCTGGAACCACAAATTTCGAGATGTGGACAGCTTATTTTCATACGACCAAACTGATCAAAAATAAGTGTCTTCAACAAAATATGGAATGTGGAACAGTCAGAAACAAGCCGAAACGCACAAAAAAGGCATGGAAGAAAATCATTAAATTAATTAGGAGCCCAGGAAGCTCTCGAGTTTCCCTGCAGTTAGTTCTTCGCTAGTTTGCTTGGAGTTAGCTCCACTCCTGTTTATGACTCTGTCGGTAATAGCTTAAATATTTGTTATTGTTTCGGCGTGCTCTAGCGACTCTCTAGCCTGTTCCAGAATGTCCCGGCTGTGTTTGATGTACGCGTACTTGAAACGTCCCTGCCTCGTCACCCTATTTAATGACGTCACCCTTTCCTAAAATGGTAGTAGACATGTCGATGTCGGAATTAAGAAAATGGCCGAAGCTGCAGTAGAGAGAGCAAATGAAAGATTTTACTGCCATGAGTGCAACAGAGAAGTTTCTCTTAACTTACCAGTAAGTCCTGTTTCATTGTGATTTCTTTTAAGTTAGTTTCTGATCCAGTTTTACCTTGCGATCACGTCAAAATGCCAAGAAATGTTTTTCCTTCAGATCCGTTTCGTTTTCACTTTATCAGTCTCATAATTCATCTGTTTGGTCACTGAAACTGCGTTAGTGTTGATTATGAGGACTAGCACATGCTGTTTTTCAGTAAGACTGAAATCTAAAGAATTCTATTTAATGTGGATAAACGACTGTATAAAAGAAAGGTTGTCGTATTTTGTCCCAGACCTTCTTCCGCCTGTTGAACCCTCAGAATATTTATGAACCTAAGCCGTTGCATGTGATTTCGTAACATTGGCTAGCATCGTCCTAGAATCACTTGTGCAATGAAAGAAGTCAGCTTAATATGTAGTTTAGCTCATATCACGGGAAAGGGAAACTTCCAGTGTATTATTTTAATCGCCAAGGTATTAAATTCTTAAATTTAGTTACACGTAAGACTTAACGTGCTGCTGTGAATGTCTATTCTTGAATGGCAACAAAACGTAATCGAGAAATTCTTGATGAGCGCGTGATATACCCTTGCAAAACTATATTTTACTATCAAATGTGAAAGAGCTGACTTCTCATCAATGGTTACGTTTAAATTATATCACTTTACATCGTAAATTAATCAAAGCAGCATATTTTTGAATATCTTCAGTCCCAAGAATAGACTGATTGTAATCAAACCAATTATGAGATCTTACGTACAAAAATAAACGTTAGATATTATCAGTTAGTATATTTTACAGTAGTAGAAAAGTAGGCATTTCATAAATTTAGTCCAGGGATGACACCTGTAACAAACCATCTTTCAGGGGAGGAGCAAAAATCGGCAGGAAAGAAAGGACCCCTGTTAGAATGAACACATTATCCCAGTTCCATGGCATTTTCTTTCATTGGGATTCCACTGTACAGATTTGTTGAAACAGAACTAATAAGAATTGTCACCCCTGTAAATATGCAAACATAGTTAAATTATGACCTTCATTATTATTTTTTCATGAAAAACTTGACAAATTTCAGCAGGTATCAAAAAATATTATATGACTAATTATATAGCTGGTAGTTAATCCAAAATTGTCAGCATAGTTATTATTCTTTAATTTTTTAAAACTGTTCAATTAAGGATTAATTTGGATAGTTTCAGATAGGATTTTCCTTTAAAAAAACTGTCCAATTTAGAAAATATAGGACAGTTTGTCTGAGCCAATCAAGTCCCAGAAAATACAATAGGTAATAGAAACTAGCCAATCAGCACAAAGCATAGTGTCAGCGCTGTTGCCGCCGTTTGTAATATGGCAGAGTTTAGCGCAGAGATTTGCCAAATTTTTCCATTTCCCATGACCTTTTCAGCGATATAACCGCAAATGAGAGATTTCCTATGTTACCAGAAGAGGAGCTTGCCAGCCTGAGAGGCAAAAACGAAAACCAGAACACCTCCAAGAGTACAAAAACTTGCCTGAATGTTTTCAATGAGTGGAAAGTGCACCGTAACGAAGCGAGAAAGTTGGAAGATATCCCTTGTCATGAGCTAGATGCAATTCTTTGCCGGTTTTTCGCTGAAATTCGAAAAAAGGATGGTCATGAATACGAACCAGAAAGTTTGGCTATCATGCAGTGCTTGTTGGACCGTCAGAAACTACAGTATTTTGCGAGATTGTGAATTTGCAAATTCAAGTCAACAACTTGAAGTGAAAGCAAGAGAATTATGAGCGCAGGGTTACGGAAAGCGAAAAAATGCTTCTCATGCTTTAAGTGAAGCAGACGAAGAATTCCTCTGGAGTTCAGGTCACCTTGGTAAACATTCTGCCCAAGCTCTAGTCAATGTAAACTTTAAAAATGTTACTGAACACTTAAGCCTTCGTGGAAGACAGGAGCACTATTCAATGATGGTGGAAGATTTCAACATCATAACCTCTTCAAGCTCGTACTTCCAGCAACAACTTCAGAACTATCAATAACTTCACAGGTACAGTGAATTTTTATGCTGTGTTTCCTGGGTTTCCTGGGCCAGATAATGTGCAAATGCCAACTTACCAAACTGTACCAAAGCACAGAACCTCAGCGTTCATGGAAAAGGATCAGAGCTCCTGTACTCTCAGACTCAGATGAGGACTAAGTATTGTTGACTTTACAAAAACTATCATTTTTTTTCACCTCAAATGGATTTAATAGCATTATTTACTGTAATTTAAAGTATTGTAAAGCGCCATGGACAATTAGTGGAAAATGGCGCTATATAAATGTATATTTATTTATTTATTTATTTATTTAATTTTGCCCTCCTTAATGTTTGTTTGTATACATGATAATTTTTTTCTATTTATAGCTGCATTTAGTATTGAATAATTTGAAAGTCAAAAAAAAATACCAAATAAAGAACAAATATTTTTTTACACCTTCAAAATTTAATATTTTGTTCCGTTATTTTCTTATCATAAATTTCTCCACTCCTCATTCAATATTGCAAGTGTTTTATTGCTACAAACCTCATTTTATTCCATGTCATACTGGATATTTTGAAAATAATATATGATTGTATATTTAAAAAATGCTTTGCTTTCACTTTACACTTTTGTAATTTGCAGTATTCTTTTTTTTCCATTATATTATTGTTATTCTGTGTGATTATGGCATTCTATTCTGCCAAATATTTTGGAAATAAAAATAATTCACAATAATTTAGTTTGCCTTTCTTTAAGGATGATAGCTTGACTGAGCAATTCCCAATAACTGACTAGCTATATAATTAATAAGTAAGAGGACTACATGCTGTCCGATGTTGGAAATAATTGGATTCAAAAAATTCCTCTGACAGCCAAATTGGACTTGGCCTACGGCCTCATCCAATTTTGGCTGTCCTCAGAATTTTTTTCAAATTGGACAGCATGTAGTCCTATTACATATACAAATGGTCCGCGTCAAAAAGGAGAATTCTGATATGTGCCCTGAGCAGCCAATTTTTGCAATATGAACCGCTAGGAAGGACTGCTCAGAAATAGCTTTGGCAAATTACTTCTCCAAAACATTGCACAAAAGAAAACAGCTTCTGTTAAGGTGGCTCAGTCAAATGTTTCAGTAACGATACTGTTCAACTTTGAGTGACTAGAGCACCGCCAATATCAATCCAACAAAAACTTGAATGTTACTGGTGTGCTAAAGAATGATGAAAGTTTCAAATGACATAAGTCATACGTTTTACCATGATCTGAGTCACCATGGTAACATTATGGCATAACCGGCCATGAAGACTGGCTCAGTGTTAGAGTAACAAGGATTTTTTGTTATTATGTTTCAGGACTTTACTTGTTCACAGTGTCAGGGAGAATTTATTGAACAGTTAAGTGACAGGTAAGTATGTTCATTAACAGAGTGTGTTAGAATGATAATTGTGGTTGAATGGAATGAGGAAGTACTCTTGGGTGCACAGTCCTTTTCAAGAAGAATCTTGAAAATTATTTTGATGTAACTTCATGCAGTGTTGGAAACTTGATTTCAAGAACAATCGCCATACAGTGCGTGACTAAGAGTACACTCACTAAGATCACTTTTCACATACCCAAGAGCAGCTTTGAACATGCATCGCAGATGTATGTTTTCTGTTTCGACATGGTTCCCAAAACACATGATGTTACTTTGTGAGCCCATATCTATGTTCTTCCAATTTTGTCTGATCACCTGCAAGCTCAACTAGTGACCAGCAGTCATTTTGTAGAAGTGTCCAGGTCATTATCATCATTATCATCATCGTCGTCGTCGNCTTGATCTAGGGTGAAAAATTCACTTGAGAGAATTGTTCTCTTAAGCAACTTTTTGGATTTATAACTAATTTATACCCATTCTGAGAAGTCCAAGCAAAGATTTGTGTACCATTTTCTGGAGATTTTAAGAGATGTAAATTTTTTCCAAAATATGTTGCTAGAAGACGTTATGGGTGTCTGAACATTTTCTGAAATACCAACAAAAATTACAGGTCTATTACCTCATACAGGTGCAATAAAATTGCATCTAAGGCTTACTTTCGTAGGGATATTAGGAAACAACATTGTGTTGTTTCAGAAAATATTCACGTCCCTCCCAAGGAGGGTTTTTTGGCTTGAATCTGGGATTTCTAGTTTTGGTTCATACTTTCTTTCAAAAAAAGTTTGTTTTCTGACCCCTCCTCCTTGGATTTCTAACAACCCTCTTTGGGGTGGGTATGGATATTTTCTGGAACCACAAATTTCGAGATGTGGACAGCTTATTTTCATACGACCAAACTGATCAAAAATAAGTGTCTTCAACAAAATATGGAATGTGGAACAGTCAGAAACAAGCCGAAACGCACAAAAAAGGCATGGAAGAAAATCATTAAATTAATTAGGAGCCCAGGAAGCTCTCGAGTTTCCCTGCAGTTAGTTCTTCGCTAGTTTGCTTGGAGTTAGCTCCACTCCTGTTTATGACTCTGTCGGTAATAGCTTAAATATTTGTTATTGTTTCGGCGTGCTCTAGCGACTCTCTAGCCTGTTCCAGAATGTCCCGGCTGTGTTTGATGTACGCGTACTTGAAACGTCCCTGCCTCGTCACCCTATTTAATGACGTCACCCTTTCCTAAAATGGTAGTAGACATGTCGATGTCGGAATTAAGAAAATGGCCGAAGCTGCAGTAGAGAGAGCAAATGAAAGATTTTACTGCCATGAGTGCAACAGAGAAGTTTCTCTTAACTTACCAGTAAGTCCTGTTTCATTGTGATTTCTTTTAAGTTAGTTTCTGATCCAGTTTTACCTTGCGATCACGTCAAAATGCCAAGAAATGTTTTTCCTTCAGATCCGTTTCGTTTTCACTTTATCAGTCTCATAATTCATCTGTTTGGTCACTGAAACTGCGTTAGTGTTGATTATGAGGACTAGCACATGCTGTTTTTCAGTAAGACTGAAATCTAAAGAATTCTATTTAATGTGGATAAACGACTGTATAAAAGAAAGGTTGTCGTATTTTGTCCCAGACCTTCTTCCGCCTGTTGAACCCTCAGAATATTTATGAACCTAAGCCGTTGCATGTGATTTCGTAACATTGGCTAGCATCGTCCTAGAATCACTTGTGCAATGAAAGAAGTCAGCTTAATATGTAGTTTAGCTCATATCACGGGAAAGGGAAACTTCCAGTGTATTATTTTAATCGCCAAGGTATTAAATTCTTAAATTTAGTTACACGTAAGACTTAACGTGCTGCTGTGAATGTCTATTCTTGAATGGCAACAAAACGTAATCGAGAAATTCTTGATGAGCGCGTGATATACCCTTGCAAAACTATATTTTACTATCAAATGTGAAAGAGCTGACTTCTCATCAATGGTTACGTTTAAATTATATCACTTTACATCGTAAATTAATCAAAGCAGCATATTTTTGAATATCTTCAGTCCCAAGAATAGACTGATTGTAATCAAACCAATTATGAGATCTTACGTACAAAAATAAACGTTAGATATTATCAGTTAGTATATTTTACAGTAGTAGAAAAGTAGGCATTTCATAAATTTAGTCCAGGGATGACACCTGTAACAAACCATCTTTCAGGGGAGGAGCAAAAATCGGCAGGAAAGAAAGGACCCCTGTTAGAATGAACACATTATCCCAGTTCCATGGCATTTTCTTTCATTGGGATTCCACTGTACAGATTTGTTGAAACAGAACTAATAAGAATTGTCACCCCTGTAAATATGCAAACATAGTTAAATTATGACCTTCATTATTATTTTTTCATGAAAAACTTGACAAATTTCAGCAGGTATCAAAAAATATTATATGACTAATTATATAGCTGGTAGTTAATCCAAAATTGTCAGCATAGTTATTATTCTTTAATTTTTTAAAACTGTTCAATTAAGGATTAATTTGGATAGTTTCAGATAGGATTTTCCTTTAAAAAAACTGTCCAATTTAGAAAATATAGGACAGTTTGTCTGAGCCAATCAAGTCCCAGAAAATACAATAGGTAATAGAAACTAGCCAATCAGCACAAAGCATAGTGTCAGCGCTGTTGCCGCCGTTTGTAATATGGCAGAGTTTAGCGCAGAGATTTGCCAAATTTTTCCATTTCCCATGACCTTTTCAGCGATATAACCGCAAATGAGAGATTTCCTATGTTACCAGAAGAGGAGCTTGCCAGCCTGAGAGGCAAAAACGAAAACCAGAACACCTCCAAGAGTACAAAAACTTGCCTGAATGTTTTCAATGAGTGGAAAGTGCACCGTAACGAAGCGAGAAAGTTGGAAGATATCCCTTGTCATGAGCTAGATGCAATTCTTTGCCGGTTTTTCGCTGAAATTCGAAAAAAGGATGGTCATGAATACGAACCAGAAAGTTTGGCTATCATGCAGTGCTTGTTGGACCGTCAGAAACTACAGTATTTTGCGAGATTGTGAATTTGCAAATTCAAGTCAACAACTTGAAGTGAAAGCAAGAGAATTATGAGCGCAGGGTTACGGAAAGCGAAAAAATGCTTCTCATGCTTTAAGTGAAGCAGACGAAGAATTCCTCTGGAGTTCAGGTCACCTTGGTAAACATTCTGCCCAAGCTCTAGTCAATGTAAACTTTAAAAATGTTACTGAACACTTAAGCCTTCGTGGAAGACAGGAGCACTATTCAATGATGGTGGAAGATTTCAACATCATAACCTCTTCAAGCTCGTACTTCCAGCAACAACTTCAGAACTATCAATAACTTCACAGGTACAGTGAATTTTTATGCTGTGTTTCCTGGGTTTCCTGGGCCAGATAATGTGCAAATGCCAACTTACCAAACTGTACCAAAGCACAGAACCTCAGCGTTCATGGAAAAGGATCAGAGCTCCTGTACTCTCAGACTCAGATGAGGACTAAGTATTGTTGACTTTACAAAAACTATCATTTTTTTTCACCTCAAATGGATTTAATAGCATTATTTACTGTAATTTAAAGTATTGTAAAGCGCCATGGACAATTAGTGGAAAATGGCGCTATATAAATGTATATTTATTTATTTATTTATTTATTTAATTTTGCCCTCCTTAATGTTTGTTTGTATACATGATAATTTTTTTCTATTTATAGCTGCATTTAGTATTGAATAATTTGAAAGTCAAAAAAAAATACCAAATAAAGAACAAATATTTTTTTACACCTTCAAAATTTAATATTTTGTTCCGTTATTTTCTTATCATAAATTTCTCCACTCCTCATTCAATATTGCAAGTGTTTTATTGCTACAAACCTCATTTTATTCCATGTTATACTGGATATTTTGAAAATAATATATGATTGTATATTTAAAAAATGCTTTGCTTTCACTTTACACTTTTGTAATTTGCAGTATTCTTTTTTTTCCATTATATTATTGTTATTCTGTGTGATTATGGCATTCTATTCTGCCAAATATTTTGGAAATAAAAATAATTCACAATAATTTAGTTTGCCTTTCTTTAAGGATGATAGCTTGACTGAGCAATTCCCAATAACTGACTAGCTATATAATTAATAAGTAAGAGGACTACATGCTGTCCGATGTTGGAAATAATTGGATTCAAAAAATTCCTCTGACAGCCAAATTGGACTTGGCCTACGGCCTCATCCAATTTTGGCTGTCCTCAGAATTTTTTTCAAATTGGACAGCATGTAGTCCTATTACATATACAAATGGTCCGCGTCAAAAAGGAGAATTCTGATATGTGCCCTGAGCAGCCAATTTTTGCAATATGAACCGCTAGGAAGGACTGCTCAGAAATAGCTTTGGCAAATTACTTCTCCAAAACATTGCACAAAAGAAAACAGCTTCTGTTAAGGTGGCTCAGTCAAATGTTTCAGTAACGATACTGTTCAACTTTGAGTGACTAGAGCACCGCCAATATCAATCCAACAAAAACTTGAATGTTACTGGTGTGCTAAAGAATGATGAAAGTTTCAAATGACATAAGTCATACGTTTTACCATGATCTGAGTCACCATGGTAACATTATGGCATAACCGGCCATGAAGACTGGCTCAGTGTTAGAGTAACAAGGATTTTTTGTTATTATGTTTCAGGACTTTACTTGTTCACAGTGTCAGGGAGAATTTATTGAACAGTTAAGTGACAGGTAAGTATGTTCATTAACAGAGTGTGTTAGAATGATAATTGTGGTTGAATGGAATGAGGAAGTACTCTTGGGTGCACAGTCCTTTTCAAGAAGAATCTTGAAAATTATTTTGATGTAACTTCATGCAGTGTTGGAAACTTGATTTCAAGAACAATCGCCATACAGTGCGTGACTAAGAGTACACTCACTAAGATCACTTTTCACATACCCAAGAGCAGCTTTGAACATGCATCGCAGATGTATGTTTTCTGTTTCGACATGGTTCCCAAAACACATGATGTTACTTTGTGAGCCCATATCTATGTTCTTCCAATTTTGTCTGATCACCTGCAAGCTCAACTAGTGACCAGCAGTCATTTTGTAGAAGTGTCCAGGTCATTATCATCATTATCATCATCGTCGTCGTCGTCGTCGTCGTCATCATCATCATCATCATTCCTAATTCTCCAAGTAGGAAAATTTGCAAAGTAGGAAGTTGTGAATCTGCGTGCCTAGAGAAGAAACGTAAGCTGAATAGTTACCTGGAAATTTTAATCATACTTACCAGATGGATAGTGTTTGATGATTTGCACTCACATGATCAGGGCTCGAAATTGACTTTTTCGTTCGGGAGCCAACTGGCAACTAACAGAAAAATTTTTGGTCACCAGATCGTAAATTTTGGTCACCAACTTATTTTATATACAACTTACACAAGAACACAATTCATACACAAGATGATCTCTGACAAGAAATGATAGCAGAGATCTATGGTTATTTTCATATGCGCCCTCTCTGCTGTTTAAAACCAGGTGTCTTAAAAACTAAGACCTGACCCGAGACTAGACCTGTCACAAAGCTAAGACCTGAGACCCTGTACACATCTGTACTAGTACCAGTGTTAAATACTAATACGTTAGATACCTCCCAATCTCAAAATCTAAGGCCAAGGCCCCTTACCAACCTTCCAAACTGAAAATACTAAGACCTATCTTTGCTTTATTACCTATATTGAATCAATGACTACATGTAATTTTGTGGCTGGAAATTGTTTGATTTTTAAGATCTGATCTCTGTTCGATCAATTGTGTTGAATGGGTCTTGATATTTCCCATTGATACTTTGATTATCAGTTGAGAAAGGTGTGATGAAAGTTTGGTAACCAGGTTTTAACATTTAACTTGTGTTGCTGTTACGGGCAACTGGCTCCATTTCTAGTGGCAACTTGTCGCCTTTGATGTCATTAGCAGCAGGTGATGATATTGTTAACATTGGAAACGAGGATAGTTGCCTATGGCAACTCTGTACTTTTAAAGTCAAAACTTCGTCATGAAAGCTCTGTCATACCTTACTCAACTGATAATCATCGTATTTCACAGCAGGCAGGGGGTGTGAATTTTAATGGATTTATGGGCATAAAATGAGATGAAGTAAATGCAGTAAAATTCTCTCCTAAAACAGTACTTGTATATAGACTGTACTACAGACACATTTGCTGTAAATAAGGCCCGGTTTAAACGTCGCATTTTACATGCGCCAAATCAAATATTAATTTTAGTTGACTCGTATGAATAAGTTCGGCTGATTTGATTTACATGTCGCATTTTTTTGCCGAATAAAATTGCTGAGCGCGAGCGACGTGTTTGTTCCCAGCTGACTCTGCTCCAAGTTTCCCACCAATGCGGCTGACAATGATAAGGACCATATTTTGCGTTAAGATCATTCATACCTTTCAAACACCATTCAAGCAAACAGAATGGGGCGATTTATAATGCAGATGGCAGTGCGTTACCTCTTAAACTCTGATTTTCGTTTCACTCTCCTGTTGAAATTCAAGTTCATAGACTTCATTCTCCATCCTCTACATAACTTTGCCGAAGAGAAGTAAGAACCACCGCACACACTATTATACTCAACAGTCGCCATATTGCTTTCCCACTCTGCATGTCATGTAACACAGAGCGGTTTTTGTTCAAAGGATGAAACTTAAGCTTAATTGGTTTTGCATAACTACATTATATGATCGGAGCAAAGCAAGAACCACACATACTGGCATCTTCAACAGCCTTCCTTCTACACTATACATCCACAGCTGCAAGTGCCGCCAAAATTCCCTTCAGCTTGTTGTGCACATGTCATACAGCACAAAACTGTGGAGTTATGGGTGAAATATAATTTAACATAAGTTATGAATTAGATTCGGCACATGTAAAATGCAGCGTTTAAATCAACTGTCGAACTTCAGTCGTTTATTTGACTGGATCAGTCGAATATATATATTTCGCAGTTATTTGAAATATGTCGAATTTAATTGATTTAAATGTTGCATTTTACATGCACTTAATTCAGCAATTAGATTCGATGCATGTAAAATGCGACGTTTAAACCGGGCCTAAGGTATTGTTGAGTTATTCATTCTAAATTCCTTTCAGTGCTGAAGAAGAAGAAAATTTCATTGAAGTTGAAAGAGACCCAGCTGTGCGGTTTGCAGAGGTATATAATACATGTAATATCCTTATTCATTAATAGTTAGTTTAGCTTTATAGACTGCATTTAATTATATTAATCATACCTATAACAAAACTCTTGATCAAGATTGGTTCTCCACTTGCCTATTTCTCATGTAATCGGCACGTGATCACGTGGGTGTCCAATTACAGGTATCCAGTTTAAACTTTTTGTAATTGGGTACTTGTAATTGGATACCCACGTGATTTGCACATCAATTACATGTGCTTTAATGGCTTCCTTTGCACTGTTTCGTGCAGTTTTCAAAACTTATGAAAAGCGCTACAGACGTTATCGCTCAAAAGAAGTTCTTAAAAGATGTTTTCAATACGGAAATTTGTTATAGATACGATTAATTAGTAATAGGACTTCGTGTCATACAATTCAGGGAGTAAATTACTCGTAATTTCAAATTGGCCTCATGCTTCACGCTCATCTGATTTTGAAATTACTTACACAATTACTCCCTGAATTGTACTTGCACAATTACTTCCTGAATTGTTCTACAAATAGAGAATTAAAAATTTATTGTTTATTATCCACCTAGTTTATCAGCCCCCAACTTTGTTTACCACAGACAGTTTCCAGTACTTTCCAGACAAATCAGTACTACTAACAACTCTTTAGAGTGGTTTTCAATTGAGTGTAGATAGTAATCAGGTAATTACTTTGGTTTTGGTTTTGGTTTTGGTTTTGGTTTTACAACAGTTTGAGATTGGCTGAGTAGTGCAATTGGTAAGAAATTGGTTTGGTTTTGGTTTTATGACACTCAATTTAAAACCCCTCTATCAAATGATGCTACAATATTGGTATTACACAAATACACAATCATTGGTAAACAAGTTGTGGTCATCTTCATGGTGTAATGGTTTCCATAGCAATGATACAAACTGTTAAAGACACCCTTAATTTTGGCTTTAAGTGCCTTTACTTCATAAACGATGAGGTGAAACACATTTTTTATCATTGACTTGTGATAGCATTTCGATCTTTCAAAACTTAAGGTGATCTGAACCCTATTGAAGCAATAAGAGTTATAAAAGTGCAATTAAGATTCTTAACATTGAATCTTGTACATGCATTAGCAAGCACAAGTTACAGTGCATGTTTGATCTTGTCAATTAACTTTTAGTTTTTCTTATGTTTACCAGTTGGTTCAGAGAGGTTTGTTAGGACTGACGCCGGGTAACTCAGGTAACTGAACATGTCCCCTTTACTATTCTTTGTGATGCAATGCATTGGTAGGAATTGAGTATCAGTGACATGTTACTTTTATTTAAATTACAGTGGAAGCCCTAGTAAGCGGACACCCTTGAGATGCGAAAAAGCTGTCCGTAACTGGAACTGGCTACTTACTAGAATAGTTAGATCACTAGTTGCCACTAGAGTTTTAAGGCAAAGATGTGGGAGCTTGCCCAGTGGAGCTCCCTGTGGGAGCTTGCCCAGCTTACAATAAACTTTGGGAATGCAAAATACCACCAAATTATTTTTTGTTTTATTGCCTTGTGCAATAACAACAAAGGAAAAGTCTAGATCGTAAATCCTAGATGTGTCCATGGCCACTTACGACTATGTCTGCTTACGGGAATGAGTAAATAGAGCTGTACAGATTTTATTAGCTATACATTAGTAGAAATGCTTTTTTTTCATACAGAGTTTGTATAGAAGTTCAAACAGGATTTTGTGAAGGCATCCATTTTTAGTATTAGAGCTCTCCACTTATGAGAGTGTTTGTTAAGAGAGCTTCCACTGTATTTTATTTTTAATGGGGGCAGGATTCACCAAGCCCTCCTTGCAATGACTTATAGTTAGAGTAACAAGAAACATGTCATAAATACTGCAAAATGCTTCCTGAACAAGCTGCTAAAGTTTGAATTGGGCAATTCCAGAAAATATCCATATAGTGATGCCTATACCACAGACGGTTTTCAAGAATTCTGAGGGCAAGGGGGGTTTCTTTGAACTGGAATTCCGAAGGCGTGGAGAGTTTCAGATCTGGGATTTCCAGAGGGGACAGACAAAAGTGTAAAAGCTGGACCAAACAGTTACAATGTCAACTGTGCTTTTTTTGAGAGGTACAAAGTTTTATAATCAATACTAATCACTTTGGAATTCAGTAGGTGTGAGGGGGTAGAGCATTTTAAAATTGCCGAAGGCAAGGGGAGGTTAAAATATGGATGCTGTCCATGGTTGGGTACGGCTATTTTCCGAAATCACCCATTGACTCTACAGTGACCTTGAAATGACCCAACAGTGTAATGCAACTCTGAATTATAAGGTTCTTATTCAAGTTGGATTTTTCCAGATGAGGGAGGAAGAAGAAGACCTCGAAGACCAAGAACAAGAATAAGCATACGAACCAATCAGCGACCAGGAGAGAGAGATGCAGCAAATGCTGCTGCAATTGATGTGTAAGCTGTACTGACCTAGTTGTCAACCTTTGTAAAGCATTACACGACTTTGATCCTTTTGTTTCAAACTGAGCATAAATTGAAACCTTTTCTTGTTTTCAGTTATGAATTTTTTTCATTTATTAAGTCAATTTTTCATTGATATGCCTATTTGGGAAAGTGGATATATACGTAAAAGAATTATTTAACAGTTTTGTATAGACATCAATGTATCATTGATTCTTGAATGTCTTGCACTAAGTTAAACATAATTTCATTTTTTGTTTGTTGTACAGAATTCTTCAAAATCTTTTTGGTGGCTTAGGACCTCCAGGTATTTTTGTTTTCATTTATATTGTTATTTGTTCCATTGCACAAGTACAGCTTTTAAATCTTCAGACACAATGTAAAAGTTATATTTTGAACTTTATATTATTATTCCAGGTGGCTCAAGTGAGGATGGTGCAGGACCCTCTGGAAATGTAGCATTTCCTTTGTAAGCATTCATGCATATTGCAATCCAGGTTTTCTTTTGTACCATTTATGACTTTCTTTTACACTTAATGACCCGGTGAGGCTGAAGTGCTTTTTGAATCCGCTTTGTTGCCAACTGGTTTTAAAGTTTTCTTCTCTCTATTGTATCTTACAATACAGTAATTTGCTGCGTCTCCATGGGAACCCTGCAGATTATGTCTGGGGTACAGAGGGGTTAGATACTATAATAACACAGGTGAGAGACCAATTCCCACAAAATAACTTGCTATAAATATGTTTAAAAGCTTGCAACAATCAGTGGACGGTCAGTCAGATTGACAACCAGGCGGGGTAACATGACAGGAACCTTAAATATTACCATTTTGCAAGTACATCCATACCAGTATACAAGATAGCCAGAACATATCATGTATGCTGTAAGGCCCTGCGCACAGTAAGACGGTTTCATTTGAAGGTGGCGTCACATCAAAAATGTTTCCATTTGCTAGCAAAAATCAGCATCTACTTCATGATCTCTGCTGGCTACATTGCTTGCTATTTGCCTCATTCTTTTGAATAAGAGGGCAAAAGTACTTCATCAAAACTCTGTGACAACTGTGTATACCAAGATACTGAAAAGATACAAAAATATGCAACCTCTGTCTTGCGGAATACATGCATGATATCTGGATAGAAATAATGCGGAATTGAAACTCACAAAGACACGACAACATTTTCATCTTCCATCTTTTTTTATTCTCGTCACATCCCATAATTTTTTACATGTTTTCAGTCCCTGCGCCGCGGTGCGCCTGGGACTTTGAAACAGTCACGCAACAGTCAGCTCAAAAATGTCGCTAGTCAATTCGGCTGTCTCTCCATCCTCCCCCCCGAAGAGTGCCTCAGGGTTTGTCAGCTCTTCTCTCTACATCACGTCTTCTGTATGGTTTGAGAAATTCAATGGACACAGTCGGGTTATCGGGCGGATATACTTGTGGCCTCTTGCACTCACTCGGACAACGTGCACATGTCCATCCTGTCCTGGGAATACTTCATCTATTGGTCCCAGATGCCACTTCCCGCATGGGGCATTTTGATCAACAACCAATACGTCTCCGACATGCAAATTTTCTTTCGCCTCCCGCCACTTCTTCCGAGTGTTGAGTGTTGCCAGAAACTCTTCTCTCCACCGCTTCCAGAATGTCTTCACCAGACTCTGAACCAACCTCCATCTCCTTCTAGGGTTGAATGCTATCTCATCTGTCACTTGAGGGGCTAACTGTCCTCCCAACTGCCTGATCAGAAAATGGCTTGGCGTCAACACAGGTTCGTCATGCGGGTCTGTTCCCTCATAACTGAGAGGTCTCGAGTTCATCAGCGCTTCTACTTCTTTTAACGCGGTTTGAAGTTCGTCATCGTTCAGTCCTGAATTTCCAACTATGGCCTTCAAGGACTTCTTGGCTACTTTAATCAGCGACTCAAACACTCCTCTGAAGTGAGAACCTTCAGGGGGGTTCCAATTCCATTTAATTCCTTTGTTGGCACTGTCATCCACAATCTTCTCTTGGTCGATTGACTGAATAAGTTCTTTAAGTTCCATATAAGCACCTACAAAGTTGCTCCCATTATCACTTGTAACTTCTTCCGGTCTTCCTCGTTTGGCTACCATCCTACTGAACTCGTTTAGGAAGTCTGTGGTACTCAGTGAAAAGGCCATCTCCAAGTGTACTGCTCTGGTGGCAGAACAAGTGAACAGGCACAAGTATCTCTTGGCTGATACTCTCTGTGTTATCTTGGTTATGAAGGGCCCTGCATAATCAACGCAAGTTTTCGCAAATGCTCTCATTGTGGACCCAAGTCTCAACTCTGGAAGTGGTGCCATGATCTGCACTGCCGGCTTTACACGTCTCTCCTCACAAGCCTTGCATTCTCTATCCCAATTCTTCACCTCCTGCCGACCATCTATGATCCAGTAACGACATCGTACTTGCGCTAGTACATGATTCACTCCTGCATGGCAGNGCCATTTTTCGATTCTACGCTTCCTTTTTAATCCGCCTCTGTTAATCCGCCGTTGATTCTATTCTTTTCTACTGAGATCCAGCGCTCGAAGGACCACAATGGAGAGAAATAATGCGGAATCGAAACTCATAAAGACACAACAACATTTTCATCTTCCATCTTTTTTTATTCTCGTCACATCCCATAATTTTTTACACGTTTTCAGTCCCTGCGCCGCGGTGTGCCTGGGACTTTGAAACAGTCACGCAACAGTCAGCTCAAAAATGTCACCAGTCAATTCGGTCGTCTCTCCAATATCAGTGTTTCATAGAGTGCTGTATTTGCCGTGTACAATAAAGCAAGAAAACAGCAAATATTAAAGAGTCTTTATTCAAGTATTTGCTTAGAGAGTGTTTTCAAATCACTCCATTTTGGCAAACAAAACTGGGGGATATAGTCTGGACAAGAAGTAACACACATTTAAGAGGAAGCATTTTGAAATGAACATCCATTAGAGTTGATTGTGCCAAGGCTTTTTATGTTTAAATTCTTTAATTGATGTGTGAATGTGCTATCTCATTGGTTCTCAGCTTTTAAATCAAATGGAAGGTGCTGGACCTCCCCCTGCAGATGCTGATAAAATAGAAGCCCTTCCAAAAGTAAAAATCTCACAAGAATTAGTAGGTAAGTTGATTGCATTTTGTATCACTGTTACGAACAGCTTATAGCATGACACTTCTGTATATGGATATGGACACTTCAGCCGCATACAAACGTAATATTTCTTTTATTGCCCATAAGTAGACACCTCTCTTAAGTAACGTGCGAGTCTCACCCCATAGACATCTGTCGCAAACCTTGGATGTGAGTCTGTAAGAAACTGGTTAATGTTAAACATGTCTTCAGAAATCTTCAGAATTTCCTTGGAAATCCTCAGTTATGTTTGGATCTACTTTGACAATCGTAGCATTCACAAGATAAAAATCCCTCAGCTGAGACTAGGAAAAAGTTGGCAGGGACATTATTTTCTGGTCCTAGGAATCAATGTCTCACTTGTTACTGGAAGTTTGATTGTGTAATAGCAAACTTGGTATTATTATGATCCTTAGAACATATTTATTTATAAATGGCCATGCAGCCATTACAGTGTTAGAAACCTTGATTTTGTCACCTAACATTTTTGTTGTATGGATGGTCTCAGTGCAGTGTTGCTCAGACAAGATTGATGACAAATCATAAGGTAAATAATTTTGCTTCCTTTTTGTTTAGCTGCTTCTGCTGATTGTGCAGTTTGCCAAGACAAGTTGGCATTAGGTGAAGAAGTTAGACAATTACCCTGTAGGCATTTATTCCACTTTGACTGTATAAAACCTTGGTTAAAAATGGTGAGTATACAACTATACTTGTTAAAACATAAAACAAATAAATGATTAAGACTTCATTGGTGTCAGTGGATTTAGCACTTCTGTGCTAATTGGGGATGCCATATTGCAAATTGGGCTTAAACTAATAATACAAATCCCCACTATTTAAAAGGGGGAAAAGGAGTTGAACTGCCACTACTGACAACAAATCTAAATAGTAACAAGATGGAGGGTTTGAGCCATACCACCTTCCTAAGTTATGTGTCAGTGGCGGATTGAGGAAAGGGGGGAGGGGGACCCGCCTCCCTATTTTGGGTAAAAAAAAGAGCAGAAATCACAGAATGAAGAAAAGCCGGCAGGGCAAGCAAAACAAAACTGGGGTCCCTGCTTGGCTCAAGGTCTGGATCCGCCACTGCATGTGCTGTAGTTCTATGGACCAGTACTTTATAAATGATAATTTATGATTACTGTACCTAACTGTTTGTATGTTGGACTCCAGGCTGTGTAGCATTTGTTGACCTAGATACATACACTTACTTGTAACTAACTCTCATGGTGCCCCAGGGCGAAAAAAAACTTGGGCTGGACAGCTGTTACAACTTAGTCAGAGTGGTGCATAAGGCCTCCTGGTGGTTACTGGGTCACTGGGTACTA